GCCCAGCTCCCTCAGCCTTTCCTCGTAGCTTCTGCACACCAACCGGTGAGCGTGGTGAAGCAGGAGCCGTGGTGCTGGGCGGCTGGGCAGGTGTGTTTCGATTAGCAGGCTCGACCCGACTCCTTTCGAAGCCCTGCTGTTGGGGCTGCTGTTTCGGCCGGCAGGTGTTGCTGCTCTGTGACCCCGTGCCCGCAGTCCCCTGTCCTCCATGTGAAGCCATTAGCACGCTCTGTGCCCTGGCTTGCTGCAGAAGGGTTGCTCTCTAAAGGCGACTTTCACATGGGCTCTGCGTTATGCCGTTCGTTTCAGTTACAGAGCTGGCACCTTTTTTTTTTTTTCCTTTGTTCAGTCCAGAGTTTGCTGGAGTTTCTTCCTGATTGCAAAAGACGTACGGAATGGGCAGAATCGTAAAACCTTATCAGCAAGCAATAACTCTCGTTTGTTGCTCCCCAGCTATGTTGTGCGTTTATTCACTCGAGCGAGCCGTATCTCCATGCAACAACTTGTGTTGCCACATCAGCCCTTCAGCTTTACGCCAAACACTAGTTTCTCTCTTCTCCCCTCATAAATTACAAAGTTATCAAAAGGGCTGGTGTTGATTACTGCTGGGGGGAGGGCCCCAGGTGTGTCTCTTGAGGCAGCTGGGCTGACGGGAGGGTGGCCAGGCAGTGGCAGGGGTCCATCTCCTGGCGCTCGGGCCAGGTGGCAGCAGGGGTCTGTGTCCCAGCGCTCCGTCTGGGCAGCGGCAGGGGGCCATCTCCTGGCATCCATCCGGGTGGCGGCAGGGCCTGCACAGCTGAGGTTGCTTGCTGGTCTCGCCTGCTTTGGAGATGTCTTGCGAATGTTCAGTGCTCTAACAAGGAGAACTGCAGGAAAGTGATGGGCGAAACAGAGATGGTCAGTTAAGTGTAGCCAAGGGAAAGGAGACAAGGAATAGAATCATACAATCATAGGATGGTTTCGGTTGGAAGGGACCTTAAAAATCACCTAGTTCTAGCCCCGCTGCCATGGGCAGGAACACATTCCACTAGACCAGGTTGCTCAAAGCCCAATTCAACCTGGCCTTCGATGCTTCTAGGGAGGGGGCAGCCCTGACTTCTCTGGGCAGCCTGTGCCAGTGCCTCACCACCCTCACAGTAAAGAATTTCTTCCACATGTCTAACCTGAATCTACCCTCTTTCAGTTTAAAGTCATTACCCCTTGTCTTATCACTACATGCCCTTGTAAAAGGTCGCTCTCCAGCTTTCTTGTAGGCCCCTTCAGGTAGTGAAAGGCCGCTCTAAGGTCTCCCCGGAGTCTTCTCCAGGCTGAACAGCCCCAACTCTCTCAGCCTTTCCTCATAGGAGAGGTGTTCCAGCCTTCTGATCATTTTTGTGGCTTTCTCTGGACCTGCTCCAACAGGTCCATGTCCTTCTTGTGCTGAGGGCTCCAGAGCTGGATGCAGGACTCCAGGTCAGGTCTCACCAGAGCAACTTTTCATCTTCTTTTCTGATTATGCTATTTGATTTACTTTGCCTGTTTTATACTGACTTTTCTCTCCCTTAGGAAGGCCGGGATCCCTGTTAGTAGTAAATTGGTCTTGTTCTTTTGGAGTAGTCTGGCAGAATATTCCTGTGAGCTGTATCTGCGAGTGGTCTGCAAATTTAGGTTGGAGTTGCGTGCTGTGTTGGGTAGGCTGTGTGTGACTCTTGTTAAAATCTTATTGACACATAATGTCATTTCAATAAATGTTTGGTACTGATCTAATTATCTACCCAGAGAGGCCAATTACTCAAGCAGCTTATGTTTTTTCACTTGAGTATATTCTGTCAGAATACACGACTTGCTCAGATCTAGACCCTGAAAATAGAAACCCAAGCTTTTTTAATTAATTTTTCATTTTTTTTTGCAAAACCTTGCAGTGGCAGTGATGAGGATGTGGATCTAGATAAAAAGCATCTGAACGTCCCATGCTTTTTACCTTAGTACAAGGAGCTAGTAAACCAGGCTTAAACGAAGGCGTGTTTCTGTTCAGAGGCCCTAAACAAATTTCCCCCCTTTCTTCTGTCCAGTGTGTGTGTTTCCTCCATGGGATGGTGAAAATGCCTTTCCTTGCTGCAGTGCTTCACTGATAGGTGTCTGCCAGGTTTCCCCTGAAGACCCAAGTGAAGATATTCCGGTTGTTCCATGTGTTTTGTTTTTTTTTTTTTTTAATTTCTGCAACTCCCATTTTGTGTTATTTGAAAAATTCCAGGGGGCTGAAATATTTCCCCCGTGCAAATTCATAAGGATGTCTTCTTGCTCGATTTCGGCCTGAAGAAATCGTGCAGTAATCTGAGAAGGGCAGAAAAGACCAAGTCAAGGGAGGTGGCGCTTGGGAGTCTAATCACTAAACTCCTGCGGATTAGAGACGGGGCACTGTGCCAAGGCGACCCAAGCTCTATTCCTGGCCCTTTAAACCCCCCAGCTTCTTCGGATCTGCTCTGCGCGCGTTTCAGGGAAAACATCAGGCTTGCAGTGTGTCATAAGCAGTTTTCCAACCCTCTGCAGCTAGAAAGCGCAGCTGTTAAATGTGATAAACCGATCCAAGGGAGGAAAGGTGCCATCAGGGGGAGGGTGAGCGGAAGCGGGGGCTCCGTCCCTGCTGCATGCAGCGAGGGGCTGCCTTGGATGCTCAGCAGCAAGTGGGGCACAGCAGTGGGCAGGGAGACGCTGGGAGGGTGCACTGCTGTGGTGGGGAATTTGAGCAGACGTTTTACTTGGTGGGTGGCACCCAGTGAATTTTCAGCACTGCGTTCCTTGCAGGCAGTGGAAATTGCTCCCTTCCTTCCTTTCCCCTCTCTTCTCCCTCTCCCACACCCGCCATGAGACTGTGGCTTCTCAGCTGCTGCGCGCCTGGGCTGGTGCTGCCTAAGATGGTGTGGACAAACTGGGGTTGGAAAGTGGTGTCTGAGCAGGGACTGTGGGATGCGCAGGCGTGGTTGCACACATACACGCATGCTGAGGGACCTGAATGTGGCCAGGAAACGGAGGCAAATGCCAGGGCACATTGTGTGTGAAAGTATAAGAACAGGCTTTACGGAGTAATAAAGCGTGTGTGGTTTGTTTTTGGTCTGGAAATCCAGTCCCAGCTGTTCCAGATGTTTTCAGTTGTGTTTATAGCAAGTAGCTACTGTGCTGGCTTGGGGGGAAAAAAAAAATAAAAAACATAAAGATTGGGGTGTGCCTTCGCAAACGTTGCAAACAGGCGAGAGCATCCATGAAATATGTTCCCTTTTGTTGCCTTGGAAAAGGTGCATAAATAGTCTTGAATAATTTAAGGAAGAACTAGAGCTTTCAGGGAAGGCTTCTGTGCGTGTGCCTGAGTGCTGGCTTTGTGTGTTTTGTTGGCAAGAAGCACGTCCTGCCCCTTTGCGCAGGGCAGCAGCTGCTTGTGAAATGGGACCTTTCTGAAGTCAGAGAAACTTGTTCTTCAAATCCGCTGGCTTCTGGGTCTCTAGCAGCAGTGTGGGCAGAAGCAGCCTGTGTGAAGGGGAGGGGGCCTTGTTCCAAGTGTCTGCATTGGACCCAAACTTAGGAGCTGATGCTCATGTTCGTTTCTAGGTATGGTGCTGTGTTATTTGCTGCCATCCAATAATGCAAATAAAAAATGTGTATTTCCATATGCTTAGCTAGCCGTTTTGAGTCTTAGCCATTTTGCTGTGTTCTTTTTTATCTGTGACGTATCTGAGACTCGTTCATGGGAGCTGAGCTGCGGACTAAGAGCCAAGGATGAGGCTGACGGCATGTTAGTAAAGGTGCTTGAGATGGAGGAAAACTTGGCAAAGATGGTAAAATGGCTGCTGTGGTAGTACTTTCAGAAAATGAGGGCTAAGGTACTTTCTTTGGTGGCTGAATATTTTTGTTTTTTTTTTTGTTCAGCTAGGCGTTGAAATGCCAGGTAGATATCTTAAGACATTTTGATTTCTTGGTATTCATCCCCTCAGTTTTTATACTCCCCTAAATTTGAATGTGCCCTTAAAAAACTCCACTAAGCGTTTGCTGCTACTGCACTTGGAGGATCTTTTGGGATCACAAGTGGAAGCAATGTAGACGTGAAGATGTTTGGAAGACTTTATCTCTTTCTGTACTGAGTTTGTCCTTATTCCATCTAGGGAATATAAGGAAAAGGTTGTTTTTTGATCATTACCCACATATGCCTGTTTCTTGCCATTGGCAGGGGAACAGGTTACCAGCTCGGTCTCCAGTTGTATTAATATAGAAAGCTTCCACAGGGACTGTCCAGCAGTAAGCAGCAAATGCGTGCTTAGCCTCTAAGTGATAGGAAAGGAGATTATTTAATATAGCTAGATTTCTTTTTTCTTTGTTATTCTAGCATTTTTGTATTTGCTTGTCAAAAGTGGATTTGCAGATGAACTGTTAGAAAACGTGCAGACTCTTACTTTGTGGGTGAAATACAGCAACACCTGTTCTGGGCAGCCCCACAGGGGGACTTTTATGGCAGAGACACAGAATTACGAGTCTCTTCTATACAGAGAAGCAGAGAAGAGGTGGAGAGAAAAGGGGAGGGGAAAGAAGCAACTGCTAAAAAGCATCCCCAAATGGATGAATGAGTGGGTGACACACATAAATGACTGCTGTGATGGTCTGACTTACTGTAGCTCGGTCTCTGGATAATCCTAATATGTCAGATTTCTGTAAGGCCAACATGTGACACAAAGCTTGCCTCTCAGCAGACAAGTGTGCTTTGCTGGTATTAAGAGGCTAGCTGAAGGCTGGTCTCCCACTGTGTGTTTAAATGCGTGTGTTTGTCTGTGTAGTATGTGTGCTTGCTTGTATACGTAGTTCTGCAGGCAGCATCTTTCAGGAGAACTTTAAAGGGAAACTGGAATTCCACAAACTCTTGGCTATTGCATAGACAGTCCCAAACTTGCCTGTGTGTGTTTATGTTATTTTTAGAAAAAAGGAAAAAGGAAAAGAAAAAAAAAAGTCAACAAGAAACAGGAAAAAAACCCCAAAGACTTCTAGCTGGGATTACCGTTCTCACACCTGTCACCACTGATGTCCTCTCAAGGTTAGAATTGGAGCTACGTGAGGCCAGCTTAAACCTAACGGCATTTGAAAGGAGCTCTATGAAGGAACCGCAGACACTGGAAGGAGAACAGGAGTATCCACAGGAACATGAACAACAGCTTGCAAGTTAACCTGCCCAGGACCTGGGCTGGTTCAAATAGCTCACTCCAGGAAAAGTCTGAGCATTCCTTTTTTCTTTTCTATTACTATAGGATGGAGGACGAGGCAGTACTGGATAGAGGGGCTTCATTCCTTAAACATGTATGTGATGAAGAAGAAGTGGAAGGTAAGAGACCTTGGACTGGTGGGGAGAAAGGGTGCCTTCACAATTTGTATTTGTATGCAAGATCGGCACAGTCGGATAGCAGAGAAAAAGGGCTGCTTTGTTTTGCCAAGTAATTAATCCTAAAATTGACTGAAACACAGGTAAGCTTCATTGGGGTAAAACTGATTTTTTTTAAAGAAATCCTCTTTTTCAGTTCAGGAGTGAATGTTGTTACATGCTGCTGGCACATATTTCCACTTCCCAAACAGTTGTGTTTGCTGTGTTTTGCATAGTGGCTGTGAAATATCGGGGTATTTTTTTTTCTTTCCTCTGTGAATATAGTTTTGGCAATGCTTGCATGTCCGCAGTGCGCTCAGAAGTGCTAGAATACGATGACAGGTCTTGTAGACGGAAAAGCGAACTGGAAAACCGGCAGAATTTCTACCGAGTGTCAGGGGTGGACATAAGGCAGCAAGTGGATGTTTGCCTGGGTTATCCTTTTAGCTTAGGAGGCATAATGAGGAGGTTTTTCCCTTGAAGAGAAAATTCTTAACAGAGCAAACAGTTTCCTAACTTTTTAGGAAAAGCGTAGACTCCTTTGAAAGTGTTATTTTCTCTCTAAACTAAAAACGTTGTGAAATCCCAAAGGTAAAAAGGATTTAAATGAGTTTAGTTTAAGGTTGTTTGTGGAAAATTATTAAACTGATACGAATGAATTATTTGCAGCAATTTCTCTCTCTGTTTTATGAGGATCAGTTGACTGTGTGCTTGATAAACTAGTGGGGGAGAAGGAGGAGAGGACAACAGGGTACATACCCTACCTAGAAGGGAAAGGGGGCCAGTATTTCACCTCACAGTGCTATCTTTCCCCTCTTGATTTAGGCATATAATTTTATTCTAATTTCTTTATTTGCAAACAAATGCCTGTGGCTTTTCAGTTTAAAATGTTTTGAAAGGTGTAGGGTTACAGCCATGTCATTGTCACCAGTAACGAATGGTAAAGGATCAAGCAGTATGAAAGAAAATGATCTCCAAAAAGATGGATTAGAACACTTCCAGCAAATCAAACCGGTCATTTCCATGAAAGAGCCTGTGTTTTCTTCCTCTTTCCTATGAAGTAATCTGTGCTCAGCAGCTATAAATCATCATTTTGGGTTTAATTGGGCCATTTGCTGTCTGCAGGGTCAGAGTGACAGCAGTTTTGTATTAGCCTTTTGCTTGTAGAATAATGGATACCTTGGCACAACAGAAACATTTGAGAGGGGAGAGAGGGAGAACATTTCTTGTATTTTACTGTCTTAAATGTTGCCACGTGCTGTGGTGGTGTGTATTGCCCATATGTGATGCTCCATGAGTATAATACAAATTGTCGTTTGTAAAGAGCAGTGTGGGAGTGTCCTTTTTAACTGTCTGTAGGTGCTGTGAAAAAGGTTGTGGTTAATAGTTTAAGTAAGATTTGTAGGTGTGGTGTGTTTATCTCCACGTTTCAGTGTAGATATCCTCATTTGATTTAGTTAGGCTAACAGACCAGTTGCAGTTCTTCTCGCTGGGGTAAGGCAGAGAGGAGGTGAAGCAAGTATTTCTAATTGCACACGACAGGCCTCTCAGAACTGTGGCTGCTTGTCTGAGCCTCCGGAGAGACTTGGAGCTGTGTAACCAGCTAATTCCCTTGTTCGTGCTAAAGGCAGTGCCTGGGTTCTCACAGGGCTTCTGTGAATGACCTAGCTAAATCGCAAAAGGAGCTGCCGTCTGTGGCAGGGCCAGTCCTGACGCTGTAGCATCTGTCAGTGTCACCATGCGTGTATGGCGTGTGTGATGCGGGTGGTGAGTTGCTGCTCAGCCACTCCACTCTTCTGGAGTGGGACAGCCTGCAATTCATAGCATACCTGGCAAATCTGGGGCATTACCACAGTGCAAGTAATCGTTAAATGCTTTGGCATTTTAAAGAGATGTTGTTTGCCTTAGAGGGGAAGATGCATGTCCTCAGCTACACCTAACTCTCTACACAGCTATGTGACCTCTATGTCGGAGAATGATATAGTGGGCACATAGCTGTGTAGAGAGTTAGATCACTGCAGGGAGGTTGGGCTAGATGACCTCGAAAGGTCCCTTCCAACCCAAAGCATTCTATGATTCTATGTAAGTACACTTAATGTACATGTGTATCTAATATGCATGCATGCACCCCATGTATAGTCACAGACTGCATGTATAGAATGAGTTGTAGACTCACAGAATGGTTTGGGTTTTAAGGAAACTTTTAAGGATCTTCTAGTCCAGCCTCCCCTGCCATGGGCCTGGACACCTTCCACTACACCAGGTTGCCCAAAGCCCCGTCCAGCCTGGCCTTCAACACTTCCAGGGAGGCAGCACCCACAGCTTCTCTGGGCAACCTCTGCCAGTGCCTCACCACCCTCAGAGTAAAGAGTTCTTTCCTTATATCCGAGCTAAATCTACTCTCTTTCAGTTTAATATCTGATGGAAGGGCTAAAACATCAGGTTGAAGACCTTTGACACTTGGTACGGAGGCTTTTAAGTCTCTCTGCTAGATTTCTGCACTGCAGGTGGAGAGGTTTGAAGGAGAAGAGCATTTGTCTAGAGACCTGAAGGTGTTGGCTCTGAAGTGCTCTCCATTACTTCAGCCACTTTCATGGTATAGTTATAACTTGCTTTTCTAAAAGGCTTACAGTAGTTGCATCCTCTGTAGAAGAAGGTAACAGCGAGTGGAATTGTTACCTCCAGGTGTATTTTATTTTTCTGATAGTTTTTATTTTTAGCTTGCTTTCATGAGGAAATAACATACATACCATAAAGTTGTTTGCCTCTCTTGCCTCTTCTGTCTATTCCTGTCCCAATAATTTTTTATACCTAGCTGTCAGTTTTGATCAAATTTCTCAGGAAGGGTCTTTAAAGTTACTCTTAATTTCACTAAACTTGTAGGAAAAAGAACATCAGCAGAGAGGAGAGACTGTTTTCTTTTTGCTCTGCTAGAGGAAGGGGAATTGTAACCTTTATGAGAAGAGAGCTGACAGTGTAGTTTTTGGACAGTGGGACTTGGGGATTCCCCAGCTGCAGGAGTTTGCAGGAGGGACTGGGAAAACCCTACTGCGAAACATTAGAACATGCTTAGAAAGCAGGCTTTTTTTTTGTTGATTGTGAATCGGTTTGATTTCAACCAGATGAAGACAGAATTTGAAAGTTGCCGTTTTGACCATCCCTCTTTTGCACGTTCTTTGCAAGAAGAGAGTAACAGCGTGGTGTCGTTTTATTGGCAGCTGATGTCCTCGCATTATGTCTGTGAGATGGAGATAGCAACTCAATTACCACGTCACTCACTAATTTAATTATGTAGCGGTGTGGGGGAGAGGGAAGGACTTAGCTTTTTAAGGAAGGGGAAAAACGGGCATTTCTGGTCAGTAGGGTGTTGAGACATCTTCAGCTTGGGGCAATTGTCGGTCGTGCCTTTGCTGAGTAAATGTCAATAGAAACCATACATACCTGACAAAAGTATGTCCCTTTGGCCTGCTTCCAGAGATTGTTTAGTGCTTCTCTAAGATGGCACCTCAGTCTGGTCCTATGCTGGAATGTGCTGCTGTTTTGTTAGCGATATCTGCTGTTGACATTTAAAAATTACTCCATTGCAGTGCGCACCCTACTGTCTTTATCAGTGGGAGGGCTTAATTGATTAATTCAGTACGTGGTAGGTAAGAAGAGCTGCTCTGCTGGCTAGCACTGATGTTGCCCAGAAATGTGACTTGGTGAGACAAGGGCTCTGCCTGGGTCCAGTTCAGAATGTGGAAGGAAAGCAAACACGAAAACGTAGGCTTTCTTGGGGGAAATCACAAAGAGGCACTGCCCTAAGCTGAACCTCCTGTGCGAGAAAACCATTCCCATTCATTTAGAGCACTGCACGTTCCTTTCCTTGAAGGTAATGACGTATTGCTGTAATGCTACTGTTAGGAGGGCTGGTATGTGTGACATAAACAGATTACTTAATAACCAATTTTGCAAGAGGGGAAAAGTAAAGCTCCACCTTATCCTTTGAGATAAGGTATTCTTGGCTCTTTAAGCGTAACTTCCCCCGGGCTTGCTGCCGCCCTGACTTCATGGTGGGGAGGAGGATGCTTGATTTCAAGTCTGACAACCCTGTTGCTGGAAGGCCTGAGGAGCACTCTGGCTGTGTGTCTTGGGAGAAGGGAACCAGCACTCGTGCCAGGTATTCTGTGCTGCGTTTCAGATGATTTTCAGAGTAAAGGTCTGGAGAATATCTCGTAGATACCACTGTTACAGGAGTGAATTCGGGAACAAAATGCTGTTACAGTGGAAACTTTTCCATGGGCCATGTTATCATTATGGGCTTTAGTATGCAGAGAGCCTAAAACAGTGATTTTGTAACAACTTTCTGTAACTACTTTTTGCCATTTTAGCTGACTACTCACACTTTCCTCCTCCTTGCTTTCTATTCTGAACCCTGTTGTGTCTTTGCACTTTGCTGGTAGAAAGCTGTGTGATGCCATAAGCCTAAGATAGTTACCTGATGGTTGGATCAATGAGGAGAGAGGTTGAAAGGGTAAAGATAACTGTGAAAATCTTTACCTTTATTAACAGTGGGCAGAAGGTAGGAGAAATGAGCTGTATTTACCCTTTTACTTTGCTTTCTTTTTCTTCTTTCATCCCCACCCTCAGGTTTTGATCACTGACTGTAGACACGCCTTCTCTACTTTCAGAAATAACCAAAAGACCTGTTTCGTATCAGTTCAGGTTTTTAATTGCTTCTGAAATACATACAATTAAAAAATTAATCAGATAAAATCTCAGCACAAAATATAATTCATTAATATTCTTTGGTACCTTTAATTTATAAGCAGAGATAGAGTAGGCTGTATTTTGCTTTGGTGAAACTGTCTCGGGCTTTGCCTGTGCAAAAGTAAAAGCAAGAGGACTCGGGCACTGCCTTTTTGCCTTCTTTGTGTACAGCGGCTGGCACAGCTTGGGACTGGCAGGCACAGAGTGGGACCGAG